GTATTTACCTATATTTCCCTCAATAAAAACCTGACCTGACCTGACCTGACCTCTTATTTGCGTATAAAAACAAGGATTCGTCAGAACTTTGGATGATCCATGAGGCTTGAAACAACAACTACCCAAAGTGTTTCACATTCTATCTTGTTACAAAGCAAAATGATTACTTATCGTAACGAGGGCAATGCGATCCACCTGTTACTCCACATTAAATGGCGCGCGAAACACTCGCCCATTAGCAAAGATACGGTACGGCATGGGTGATAATTGTAAATTATCCACCTGTTTTGCACCTTCCTACGAATAAGAATGACTACTTCTTTTTAGACAACGAATTACAATCTACCTGTTAGGTAACACTACCTGGTGAATGAAAACATCCGCATATTAGCAAAGGCGGAGTACGGCATGGGTGAAAACAGCAACATACCACGGGTTGTCTGGATTTGTATGGAAAGGGATGCAGAAGCAGAGAAAGGCACGTCCTTCTTATCAGTAGCGTGTATAATGACAGTGTAAACGGAGGATGGATTCGGGTTGGTTAGTAGGTATTCTGGCTTCGTTACCGTAGCCTGAGCCCGATAGGTTGAATTGCGGACGATGACCAGGTACTGCTTCCCACATTTACTTGTATCAGCTGGAGGCAACCAGGCCACACGAATGTTTTTGCCGTCCACAATCGACGTAGTCAGGTTTCTAGGCACCGGCATATCTGCAGACAAAGTCAATATATGATGTTAGTTCCATGAGGCACTAAGACCTTCGAGAGGACAAGCAGACTAGTTTTTCAGTATGATTCGGTGTATTCTCGACTGAAACATTCCATCCACGCGCAAGCTAGCCTCAGAACTTGAATGTGGATTACTTGCAGGCTCAGCGACTGCTCAATTTCTGCGAATTTGATTGTTCTATTATTAAAATAGTCACCCTTTAGGAGGAATCCGACGGCCGTTTCGTCTAAATCTTCATATTTTTCAAAGATCTATTGCCGGTTTGCTAAAGGCATAAGTTAAGGCAAGAGCATTCTCTCCAATATTTCAGACGTATTTATATGTCGCGGTGCACTAACTCGCCATTTTCAAGATTAATGAA